TATAATCAATGTAGAGATGCATTGAACCATCCTTCTTCTTAACAAAAAAACTGGAGTTCCCCAAGGTGATACACTTGGTCTAATAAACCTTTTGTCCAGTAGTTCCTATAATTGAATCTTTAATTCCTGCAATTCTTTTGGGGCCATTCTATATGGTGACATTGCGATGGGAGATGTTCCCGACATTACTTCAATATGAAATTCCACCTCTCTATCTGGAGGTAAACCTGGTAACTCTGCAGGAAATACATCGGGGAACTCTCTAACTATGAGAATTTCTTCAATCCCCTTCTCTTTGGTTTTAACGTCCAGCACATTAGCAATGAACCCCTGACATCCTTGTAGTAGTAACTTCTTTGTTGACATCACTAATATCACATTTGCCAATGGATTCCATCCCTCACTAAATACAAGAACTTCCACACCTTCTGAACTTAACAACGTTACCCTTTTCAGTCTACAATCAATATTAGCATGGTAACGATATAACCAATCTATTCCAGTATCACTTCAAATTCTTCAAAAGGTAATTCCATCATATTAGCAGGGAATTTAATTCCCTGAACCTGTATGGGGCACCCCCGACATACCATATTAACTCGAGCACTATGCTCTAACGGATTCGTCACTATCACATCATTGCTAGTAGCTTCTAACTGAATGTTCAATTCCCTCACTAACTTGCTACTAATGTAAAAATAGCTAGAACTAGAATCAATCAGTACCAAAACACTCTTGTCATACAATTAAAAAATACATGTTCTAATCTCTGGGTTATCTTGATCATCAGTGGTTTTAAGATTATACACCCGAGCAGTAGAGCGTATCTCCTGTTAAGTAGAGGACTCTGGCTGACTTCTTCATCTACCTCTACCTCTTCCCCTCTGAGTCGTAGAAGTAGACCTCTCTGGCTGCGCATACTCACCAGCTATCTTAGGACAATCTCGGATAAAATGCCCGATGTCCCCATATTTGAAGCAGCCTCTTGAAATCGTTCTAAAAATTCTAGAATGATTCCTTCCACAATGAGGACATTGTCTAACTTGACCCTGGTTAGATCTCCCAGCTCTAGATCCCACTAGCTGAGTTTGTCTTCCTCTCATCGGATTGGATCCTCTAGCGGAGGATGCCACTGACTCCGTTCTAGCATGGGGTCAAGAACCAGCATCACTACCCCTTTTTTATGGTGCAAAACTCGATGAAGCACCCTTTCTTTTAGATGTCTGAACTCTTGGATCTCCAAATCTCTCATTCTGAGATCTTTCCAGAGCTTTGGCACAGTTTACCACCTCTTGAAACGAAGACAGATTCAACATAATCAACATTTCTTTTAATCTTGGATGCGAGTCTTCCACAAACCATTCACAAGCATCATTCTATGTTAGAATAAGTTCGGCAGTAAAGCGGCTCAACTTGTTGAACTCACACTCATATTCATATACTGTGCGATTCTATTGCTTCAGTTCATGAACTCTTGCTTCATCTGTCGGATGAACTGATCTCCTATGTACTTATGCTTAAATTCCTCTAAAAACAAGGACCAAGTTACTTGATCACCAGTCATTCTCATTGTAACATTGCTCCACCAAATTCTTACTTGCCCTCGAACCAAGAAGACTACTCCATCCAGTTTCTTCGAATCAGAACAATGAAGTCCCTCAAGTATGATTTTCACATCATTGATCCAAAGGTCTGCAATAACGGGACCTTCTTCGGCTTCCCCTCTAAACTCTGAAGCTCCTAAACCCTTCAACTCATTTGCAACAATCATTCTCTAAGTTGAAAAGGCAAGAGGTTGCAAACGCACCAAGACAACATCCTGAAGAACATATCTTGATCATCTACAGGCACTCCAGAAGGTGTCTGTTCTTCACCTTACCTGGCCATGGCAGGTGAATTACTACTCTCAGTGGGCCTATCGTCTCCCGCTTCACTCCGAGAACTATCATGTCCGGACATCTAGTAAGACATAACCATAACATTTTATTAATTAAACATCATACTCACTATTCTATCATAACAGAAGTTCTCACTATTTTTGTTGGCATGTAAACATTTAAAATCAGTATAAACTTTAGTTTAAGGCTAGAATAGGCTAAACCATAGCTCTGATACCATTAAATGTAACACCCTCAACCATTATCCGACCCGAATACGAATCTGAGGTGTCACATTAACTTTTTAAAACGTTTACTTGGATAAAATCTCATAATTTATTAAAAAGAATAGTATAATAATTTACATAAATATTATCAAAAAGATTACAAAAATCGATAAGAGCATCTGTGATTTAAACCGTAATTACATGCCAACATAATTCTTACAACAAAATAATATATTGTTTAAAGCACTTATGATCTGATCGCTTTAAAGGAGATGTTGTCTTTCGAGACTTTAACTCTGGTCTTCCTGCTTCTTGGTACCTACATGTAAACCATTTACATGCTAAGTCACAGACTTAGTGAGGCATAAAAGGACATGTGACAATAAATTCATGAACATGAACTACTATTATTCTATCATAATATTCCAATTTACATATATTTACTAAACTATCACATATATGATCATAACATGCTCAAATGACAATTAACTTCTTATGAGAGTTTCAGTGTAATTTATCTTTGAATGCACATGTATATTATTGAGAATAGAAGATACATGAGTACACTGAGGTTGTGCACAAATGTTGTCACCACAGCTCGAATAAATTCCCACTAGGGGCACTGAAAATTTGTCCCGAAGGCCAATTATACCTACAACTCTCATATCATATAACATAGGCTTAATTACGAGTATTTGTCACAATTTCAAATCACTTCTATCCTTCTCATATAAACACATCACATGCACATATATGATCCTTTATCTTTTCATACATAACTTGAAATTATCCTTTGATGATGTCATTCATAACATATAGTATCATATTAAGGCACGGATGAATTATGCATGTAATCACTATAACCATAATATCTATATATGCATGTACATGAATATGAAATCATTAATTCAACTATAGGAAATAGACTTATCACAAGTCTTATCTCCATACACTCTATCTAGGGTATGCACTCACCTTAGTCTTGCTTGATTCGAATCGATTCTAGAACTTTATTTCTCTTTCAACCGTTACAAATTCTTCGATTGTTCCGGAACGAGTTTACGTTCAATATCTACATAATCATACATTTATCCATATCAGTATTTCAAATAACATACTCTAATCTTTCATTTCTTGAACTAATGGAAATATGAAATTTCATTTTCTATTTAGAGTAGTATCGATACATTCCCTAACTGAGGTATCGGTACCATGTCTAGGTATCGATGCCCATATTGCATTCTGTAATTTTTCGTTCAAAGATGGTATCGATACCATCCTTAAGGTATCGGTACCCTTGGTATCGATATTGTTCTTCATGTATCGATATCTCATGAATGCCTTCCTAAATTTTACTCTTGAAGTATCGGTACCTGATTAATAGGTACCGATACCCCTAGCCCAGGTTTTCCTTTTTAAGCCCGAAAATTACTTTATTTCAGCTTAAACACTTCATGTTTCATACCCTTACATATCCTTAACTCACATACACATGCTTAAACCCATTAATACTCATTTATCACATCTTTAACCTCAAAATCCTATCCTCCATATGTAAATCAAGAATTACACCAACTTTTCAACATGTTCTAATTCCAATTCTAACACTTCATACTCCTTAATTCCACTTATGACAAGTCAAATTTAGTCTTGAAATCTAATTACTACCTCTCTATCATGATTCCATTTAAGAACCCTTCATTTTTAATTCTTCATATTCCCTTCATCTTATTGTTTTAAGACAAATTAAGTTTTCCTTAAGCTTAAGTGTCACCTAATGATCAAAACCAAACTTAAATTTCAACTAATAATCAACTAACAATGAATCTTACCTTTGCATTGGGCTTTCACGTATGAAAAAGGTAGGAGAAGAATAAAATTTTGGAAACTTCATTTGGCTCCTTCCACTTCCACGTGTGTTAATATAACCACTCCCAATTAAATTATTTCTTTATCAAATGATCAGTTTGTCCTTCAATTACTTATTCAATCCTATACCAAATTTACAATATAATCCCCTGAATTATTCAAATTATCTACTTTAGTCACTAAATTCTGAAGTTTTATAATTTAGTCACTAACCCGATATTAAGGATGTTACATAATTCTTTGAATATTTTTATATTTTAAATTTAAAATAATTTGATTTTTTCAAAAATCAAATAAGTCCTTGAATTTAAAAAAATCAATTTGGCTTAATAACTTGACCAAAAAAATCAATTTAACCCATACGTCATTAGCTAAATTACCAATCATAGTGGATCACCACGTTAGCACCGTGGATTGTTATGTCAACATCGTAAAATATCATGACAGCACCATAACAATCCGTTGGTCAAATGACTATATTAAATTTGTTTCTTGGAAATCACATTTAATAGAAAAAATAATTCAAAATCCTCGTTGATTTTTTTTTAGGTACAAATTACCTCGAATATCCTTTTTCCTATCCAAATCTAAGTTTTTATATTCTTACAAAATTGGTAGAAATAGTATGAACCGCGGTAAGAAATACTTATAGAAAAATTGGTGTTCTATAATCTATTCATCTTTTCTTATTCCATCTATTTTGAATAAAAAAAAAGATCGTATTTATTAAATCCCACTGTCTTTTCACAGTTGCATGGCTATATGGTAAAACTACAAGTAATATTAAGAAAAATGAAAATAAATCTTTTTTTAAGGCACAAGATAACAAATATATAGTATAAGGACTCTCGTAGCTTTATTGATAGACTACAGAGCTTTCCTACCATCATTTCAAAAAAAAGAAAAAACCAATTGATCAAATGAGGATTTTCAACAAGCTATTTTACATGGAAATTAGGTTTCATGTGAACAACTGAAATCAAGGGTAAATAATTATATATATATATATATATATATATATATATATATAAAGCAAAAGATGAATATCAACAGCAGGCGCTTGCGGCGGCATCGGGTTGCGGCGGCTTCTGGCTTAACATGTTCTTTTTCACACCCTTAGAGCCCTCGGCTAAAAGGCTAGGTGTATCAACAATCTGCGCAAAATGCCATCCCCCATTTTATCAATTCATTCCTTTCCTATGAAATATCATAATTTCAAAATATAATGGTTAATTTGAATACCTTTAGAACAAGCTCATCAAAGCACTGTTGTACGTTAGCGTGTGTTTTAGCACTGCATTCAATGAAAAGGCAGCCATATTCTCTTGCAAACTCCAGTCCCTCTTTCTTTGTCACAACCCTCTGACTTTCCTGAATTTCATTTTGTTTACATAATAAACAACAGATGCAAGATTGATTACAACCCTTAGAGAATTTTGTTAGATGTCTAGGGAATTTTTTACCTTGTCAAGTTTGTTCCCAACAAGCATTTTGATGCAGTCTTTATTTGTCGTGTAGAGTTCGAATTCCTTAGTCCACACTTCTATAAGATTTGTAAATGTTTCCCTTCGTGTTACATCGTAAACTGTTACATTATCATTCTCCAACATGTTAAGAGCATAGAAGATGTTATTCATCACCATGCTTACTGATAAACAACAGACTGATTAATGCAAACTTAACAAGTTCAACTCAAAACAGCATCTCATCTTACTGCAAACTTAATGAGTTTTGACTCAAAAGTGCATTTTAAGTTTGCATAATCATGGTTTGATCAGCTTAACAATTTCATGGTAGAGACAAGACAAGATCTATGAGGAATTAAAACAGGAAATTCCTCGAGAGAATATGGAATAAAGGGAATAATACTTGAGATTGTACAGTGTTACACGTGTTAGAAAAAGGAGGAGAAATAATTATTACCCAAAACCACCCCTTGGGCACCTCTGTAATAAGAACTTGTCAACGTTCTGAATCGTTCCTGCCCGGCTGCAATTCAGCATATACAAGTTAGATCAACTAAAGGAAAACTCATTCCCAACTTTAAAATATAGACTTGTTTAAGTCTTTAATTGTGCAAAAACGAGCTTAGCAGATTATGTGATTAACATTTCCACAACAATTCAGAACAACTTGTTGATGTTGAAGTGCTCTAGAAAGAGGAATCAAGAGAGACAAATCATAGATCTTGATGAAGTGAAACGAGTAATTCTAATTCTAGATCAATATCTCAGATGAAGTAATCATAAAAAACCCACTTCAATCACGTTAATATTAAAAATAAAATATAATGGAACAGAAAAGAAAAGAAAAAACAGATTATCAAGCTTTAAGTTTTAAGTTTTACCTGTATCCCAAATTGCAAGCTTTAGCTTCTTACCTCCAGCAGTTACATGTTTCACCTTAAAATCAACACCTACATAACCAAACAAGTATTTTGTTGGTTATCATTAGGCATCAAGCGAGCCAAGCAGATTAAAATGATTCTGATAATCAGTTTAATCGGCAATGAGATTTCACATTTGGTAGGCTAGCTCAATATTTCCTCTCACGGTTCATTCATCATATAAATTTTATGCATACTTGTTTAAAGAAAGAAAAGGAAAATTATTCCTCTCACTGGCCACTGCCATTCATCATATTTCCTGTTCTGAATTATAGAACAATCTCCACAGAGACAAATGTAAGTAATTGATGATAAAGCTATAGATAAATATCCATGAAAATTACTTATTAAAAAGAAAGTCTGTAATTAATTTGAATTTTTTTCATGCATGACAAATAATAAAATTACTAAAGAAGCCTAGATCAAAACAATGCCATAAATTATATGAGAGGTAAAAGTAAAATAAGAATTGTGGATGAGTACTGACCAATAGTGGGAGAGAGTTCATCAAAGGTACCGGCAGTAAAACTTAAAAGAAGACTACTCTTTCCAACACCTGAATCTCCTATCATCAACAATTTGAACAAATAATCGAACTCCGTCTCCATTTTATATAATCCTATTATTTCAAAATTATAATTATGAAAAAATATATTAATTTATATATATATTTATAAATAAAATATTTATTTATTTAGAAATATCAGAAAATGACTTCTAGGTGCCTTAAGACAGCTCTTTTCTTCGATATTAAAAAATAAATAAATAATTAAAATAATTAATATATAATTTATAAAATAGGATATTTATTTATTTAAAAATATCAGAAAATGGACATCCAGTTGTTTTAAGACTGTTCTTTCTTAATATTGAAAAATAAATAAATATTAAAACGGGATTAAAATAAGTTAAAAGTAATTAAATAAGATTTTATTAAATAAAATAAATATTATTTATTATATAAATATATATATTTATGGCTAAATAATAATAATAATAGTAATAATAATTAAAAGTAAACATATAAATTTAACATATAACTAAACAATGAATAAAATTAAAACTATATATTTAAAATAAATAAAACTTGTAAAAAATAAATAAAAATTGAAATTAGTAACTAAATTATAACCTAATAGAATTAAATACATAATTCATAATTAATTATTTAAATTTACAGGGATTAAACATGTTATTTTACTCATTTATTAATTTATAGACTAAAATAAAATTATATTAAATTAGAATGTCAAATTAAAATAAATTAAAACATGCTATTCAGATTAAAATATTAATTATTAAATTTAAAGGCTCTAACTCAAATAATAAAACAATCTAAGTGCTAATAATGTAATTTAGTCTTATTTTAATTAATTCGGGTTAAAATATAAATTATAAAAATTATAAGGGACTAATATAGTATTTACCCTAAATATATAAATATACGGGCTAGGACTAAAACATAATAAAATAATATTGGAAGACAAAATTAAAATAATCAAAAATTACTTTCAGTGACTAAATTGCAAGGATTACAAACTAGGATGGTTGTGGAAAGGGTTTATCCATGCGCGAAATTATAGATATACCCCTCCCAAAACGGCGTCGTTTGGGAAGGGGTATAAATACCTTCGGGCCAGCATCCTCATTTCTTCTCTTCTTCTTCTCTCTCAAAATGAGAGAGTTATAAAACTCTCTCGCTTCTCTCTAAAACAGAGAGAAGCGGCACCGGCCGGCAGCCATTCGCCGGTGTTGACCCTGCCACCGCATCCGGTGACCGAAAAAAAATATTTTACACCAAAATATAAATCGGATCGTCCTATTGACGGTTCCGGTGACCGTTTCCATTAAAAAAAACTCTCGATCGGAGCAAATCTACGAAAATGCCTTCGGGTTTTGGTTGTTTCCGGCGACGGTTAGGGCTCTCCGATGACAGAGTAAGTTTCTTTCCTCTCTTCTCTCTTTTTTTCTGGTTGCTGTGTTGTTGTTGACTGGGATCGTTGGTAGTTTTTTTTCGTGGTGTCTCGTTTCTGTTTTTTTTTCTGTTCTTTTCTGTTGTTCTTGCTTTGTGTCTGCTCTCATTCTTTTGCAGGATTCGGTGGCTTTTATAGCCACCACGGAGTTCTGTTTGGACCGGTCCTGAGAGGGAAACCTCGGTGAGTCACCAAAGCTAGGCTGGTGACTCACCGTAGGGATGGATGTTGGTTGCCATCTGGCGTTTTGGAGTCTTCCTTGAGGCGGCGTCATGGAAGCAAGGTGTCGACAGCAGGGTGTTGTGGCATCTGGCAGCATCTGGAGGCGGCAGCTGGGATCTTCTGGAAACTTGAGGCGGCGGCATCAGTGCTAGGGTTTAGAAACCCTAACTGAAACCCCAAATCAGTTCAGGGTTTTCATTTGGGTCTGGGCCGGTTCTGGTTGGGCCTGGGATTTGTATTTGGGTTGCATGGATCTGGGATTGTAATAATTATTTAATAATAATATATATAATATTAATAATAATAATAATAATTTTAATAATAATAATAAAAACAAAAATGAAAAAAGTAGTGTTTACAGCTGCCCCTCTTTGCTTATTCTTGTGTTAACAAGAATAGAGCAAAGACGAAAAAAAACAATAATTATTTCATTTTTCTTCTTTTGAGTAAGACTGAAATGTTGAAACGTCATTCCAGAGGTCCTAAAAACATCATGCACTGAAGGGCTTACAGATGACCCTAAGGCTTTGAAAACATCAAAAAGCTCCCGAAGGCTTTTTGGAAACATCATGCACTACAGGACTTACAGATGACCCTAAGGCTTTAAAAACATCAAAAAGCTCCCGAAGGCTTTTTGGAAACATCATGCACTGTAGGACTTACAGATGACCCTAAGGCTTTGAAAACATCAAAAAGCTCCCGAAGGCTTTTTGGAAACATCATGCACTGTAGGACTTACAGATGACCCTAAGGCTTTGAAAACATCAAAAAGCTCCCGAAGGCTTTTTGGAAACATCATGCACTGTAGGACTTACAGATGACCCTAAGGCTTTGAAAACATCAAAAAGCTCCCGAAGGGTTTTTGGAAACATCATGCACTGTAGGACTTACAGATGACCCTAAGGCTTTGAAAACATCAAAAAGCTCCCGAAGGCTTTTTGGAAACATCATGCACTGTAGGACTTACAGATGTGGGAAATAGTTTACTAAGTAAGAAACTATGAAAATCGTTTTCTTACTTTTCAACAATTTCATTTTTAGAAAAGATTGAATGAGAAACTATAGAAATCGTTTTCTCATTATTTTTGAAAATAACATGTTGATTGGGTAACATGACCCAATCTCAAGATAATGTTCATTCTTGTGGATTGCGTTCATCTATTCTTCAGATGTTGGCGTGATTCTTGCATTCGAGGTTTTGAATTCTACCTTCTTCTTGTAAGGTATTGTAAATCATGAATCTTCTTTTTCATATGAAGATCTGCAAAACCTTATGTTTGAATGCAATCATATGTATCAATGTAATGCATTGTCTATTGTGTAAATGATATTCTTATGAATGCATGAATGTTGATGCAATCTTCATTTGACTTCAAAGTGGTGAACTTGGTCTTCCTTCACTTCATCATTTATTTCCAGGGTTACCTCTGGATATCAGTGTAGAAAATTATGCTATCAAGCTTGCATTTCTGCAGAATCATTTGTTCAACTTGTATCTTTGTGTCTTCTTTGCTTCATGAAAGTCTCAGAAGAAATGTTTCATTTGTGGAACTCTTGCTGTAGTCAAAATTATGACCCTGATACTCTATTTTATCTTTGGTAACACCGGCTTTCTTTGTCTGGATTTGTGTAGAAATCCAATAAAGCTTTCATCTTTGAAAAGGGAATCTATCATCTTTAAAAAGAGAATCTATCATCTTTGAAAAGAGAATCTATCATCTTTGAAGAGTGTAGATGTAGATATTCCTGACTCAGTGGGGATTAATTAAGAGAGTAGAGGTTGTTCTAATTTAACTCTTGAAACATATCACAATGAAGATTTATTCTAATTCCTTTCATGTCTCCACATATAATCAGATCTCGAATAAGGCAACTTGGACCATATCATGTTGAGATGCTTAACAACAACCTGTCGTTCAAACTTAGTTGGCTCCACTAGTTTCTTGTTGTTAAAATTTCAGCTCTCTTTCTGTGGAAAGAAATCTTCATCATATCTCACTTTTAATCTTGGGGTTGAAGAAGATAAAATTTATCTTGGATCAATAAAGGAAAACCATATGATAACAACATTGGTTTAGCATCGGAATAACTGGTTCGTAAAACATTTGACAACACATTCATAATTTCCTGTGATTTCTACTTAGATGTAAAACATTTGACAACACATTCATCATTTCTTGTGGCTTCTGCCCGGATTTCTGGTCAGGGAGGCTCTTTCGTAGAGCTCAGAACTTTCGTATAACTTCACAAGACCACTTGAGAACAAAACTCAATAGGAATACAAATGAGATGCTGGTGTGACCAAAAAGTTGATCAAATTCGCAAGATATGCTAGTGATGAATTGAATAAGAGATACCAATTGATCTTGATATTGTCTCAGGCAAGGGTAAGTGTGATATTGATCACATTTTCTTATGTAATGAGCGTTGTAAGAAGTAGAAACACACCCACTATAAGAGCCATGTATAGAAAGATATCCGTAGAATTCTTGATGTTGGGGATGAAACGCACATGATAAACCAAATAGATGAAAACTCAGTTCAGTCTAGCTGGCAATGATAACCTCAGTAACATCGGGAAAGAGCAATATACATGAGCTTCTCTCTTCAATGTCATCAAGTAAACAAAACTGATGTGAAAAGCAGCTTCGTAACCTCAACAGTATGGTTGAAACTAACTGACAAGAATCTCAAAGAAATATTTTCAATTATCACCGACACACAAAAGGCCAAATTCAGAGTTCGAGGTCTTGAGGAACTGATCCTTGGATCGAATGGTCTACAAAGGGACCATCTTTATTCATGCAACCATGATGTAGCTTAACAAAGAACACACTGTCATGTGACACATGGTTTAAGAAGATTGGGTATTTGAAACTATACTTGCTGAATAAATATTTGTTCAACAACAGGACCCTAATGCAACTGCCTGATAAACGAAGCAATTATGTGTAGTCAGATTGACTGTTATTGTTTCACCATTTTCATTCTTCATATTTTTCTGTCTCATTGGAAATATCTGCTCAAGTCAATGATTTTTAACACATGATGATGTGGGCCTTCAGCATGCCCCAGCATTTGCTGATACGAACGTTCAAAAATGCATCAACAATCCTAATTCTGATTGAAATGGGCTTTCAGCCTGCCCTATCATTTGCTTCTTGCTGATCTGAGCCTTCAAAATGCCCCAACATTTGCTGATACAGATGTTAAAAGTGTGTTCACATTATTTCTTGCTGAGAAGAGCCTCCAAGAATGCCCAAATATTCATATTGTTGCGAGCCTTCAAAATGCCCCAATATTATATTTTTGGTTGAAATGGGCCCTCAATATGTCCCTCTAGATCTATCTGAATTGGCCTTTCGAGATGCCTCAATTTTCTATTTTTGGTTTACTCTCGACATTTGTTTGACTTGA